TCTCAAAAAAAAAAAAAAAAAGAGTGATTGGGGTTGGCCAGACCATGTGCTGGGGATGAACTGGGTTGTCGCAGGGGCCCCTGTGTCCCCAGCATAGCCTGGTTATACATGGAGCCAGGCTGGCAGGCAGCCACAGTGACGGAGCCTTGCCCCTAGCGGGGCAGCTGGCGGGGACCTCGTCGGTGGAGATGTACCGCCAGGCGCTGCTGTGGGGCTGTCGCTGTGTGGAGCTAGATGTGTGGAAGGGGCGGCCACCTGAGGAGGAGCCCTTCATCACCCATGGCTTCACCATGACCACGGAGGTGCCCCTGCGAGATGTGCTTGAGGCCATCGCAGAGTCCGCATTCAAAACCTCGCCCTACCCGGTCATCCTGTCCTTCGAGAACCACGTGGACTCGTGAGTGCCTGTGTTTTGGGGACCCTATGGACTCAGGGATGGGCCTCCTACCACAGCACTGTGGCCCTACGCTGGTGACCCACAACTCTGGGACTGTCCTCCACCCCTGTAGTGTCTAACCTGCCCCATGGACCCCAGGTGCCCCCAGGAACCTCTGACCTCTGATCTTGGCACCACAGTGCAAAGCAGCAGGCCAAGATGGCTGAATACTGTCGCTCCATCTTTGGGGACGCATTACTCATTGACCCACTGGACAAGTACCCGGTATGGGGGCTCATAGCCAGGGCGGGGACATGGGGATGAAGGGTATCCGGCAGACCCTGACCTGCCCTCATCTGCCCAGCTGGCCCCAGGGGTCCCACTGCCCAGCCCTCAGGACCTGATGGGACGCATCCTGGTGAAGAACAAGAAGCGGCATCGTCCCAGCACCGTTGTCCCTACCAGCTCTGTGCGCAAGCGGCCTCTGGAGCAGAGCAACTCGGCCCTGAGTGAAAGCTCTGCCACCACCGAGCCCTCCTCCCCTCAGCTTGGTATGGCATGACCTTCAGCCCTGTCCCGCCCTAGCCTTGCCTCACCCTCCTGTCTCCTTTGAGTCTGCCCCAGCCCTTAGCCCCCCTATCAAGCCACTTTCAGCTATGTGCAGGATCTCTGACCCCTGGATCCAGGTACACACCTCAGGAGCCACTCCCCAACTGCAGTTGTCTCTGCTCAGCTCCTGACTCCTCAGCTTCCCACCTCACAGAGCCTCCCCCAACCAGGTTATAGCCTTGAATTCTGACCTCAGTGACCCATATCCCTTACTTTGGTGAGACTCTCAGACCTCAGCCCCTGCTCTGTGACCCCCACCAAGTCTCTTCACTCACTTGATTATAATCTAAACTAATCTTTGGGTTGAGCGTGGTGGCTCAAGCCTGTAATCCTAGCACTCATAGAGGCCAAGGTAGGTGGATTGCTTGAGCTCAGGAGTTTAATACCAGCCTGAGCAAAGTGAGACTCAGCCTCTACTAAAAATAGAAAACCTGAGGCAAGAGGATCTCTTGAGTCCAAGAAGTTAAAGGTTGCTGTGAGCTATGATGACACCGTGGGACTCTACCCAGGGCAGCAACTTGAGAGTCTATCTTTAAGAAAAAAAAAAATTAGGGCTCGGCGCCTATAGCTCAACCGGCTAAGGC